AATTTAAAAAAAGTGGAAAATTTAAACTTTAAATTTTATTTCAAAATTTTAAATTTTGAATTAGAACCTCGAATTTCTTTTTAAAATGACCGCCATTTCACGCTGATTCCGAATCTGTATTGTAAAGTGAATTTTGGTCTCTGCGTTTTTTCAGAAAGTCGTTTTTCTCAAAGCCGGTAGGTCAAAAACCACGGTTTTCTAGAAACCCTATTTCTGAAGGTCCTAGAAAAAACGTCCAAGAGACAAAAAGAAAGAGCATCGTTTCAAACCCTTAAGTTCCAAAAGAAAAGTTCGTAGCTTGTAAACTGACGGAGATAGCCTGGACCAACATTCTAATGTTACACGCCTATTATTTGGTAATGACAGGGAAAATCTGGTAATCGGTTCTAACTAGTAATCTAGATGACAACCAGTCGTGCATCGTTACGAGGCGCTCCGATATCTTGGAGACAGGGGGGAGGGAAGACGTCAATTTCAGAATAAGTTTTTATGTTTTTAAAAATTGGAGTAAAACTAAAAAACAGAAGATAAATATTCTAAGCAGTTTCCTTCTAAAGCAAGACTGAATTTCCTTCTATCTAACTCTATTTCCTTCAACACAAAGCCTTATAATATAAAAATACATTTACTGAAACCATGGTACAGCCTATTCTACTTATCTTATCTTATTTATTTATTATTACTCTGAAAATGGGAATAAGCGCTTTACTTCGAAACTGAGAGTAAGCCTTTTATAGAGAGGGAGGATATTGTACATTATTTTTTTAACTGTTTACTGTATAATACTCAAAGAAATCTATTAAAACAGAAGTTGAATTATTTTAAATGAAATTACACTAGATACTTTTCTACTAAATAATTTACAGTTGGATGAGTACGCACAGTGTACTGTTTTGAATGCGGTCAACTGCTATATAAGTGGAACGAAGAGATTTTAAAACTAGCGGCACTTTACTTTAAATTTCATTGTTTTTTTCTAAGAATGTCAGTCACTACCACCCCGTCTGACCTGGGCCACTATCACCTCACATCTTCATTTTTCTCCTATTTTCTTTTTTATCATCCTATTTTCGTTACATTATCAACCTATATTTTATTTTACCTTTACATACTCTAGTATTCAGAGCTAGGCCTGTAATGATTTTTTCGCAGGTCTTATTTGAAAAGAATCAATAAAGACATAAACAAAAAAAAGCCTTTTATACTTTAAAAATGAGAGTAATTGTCTTACTCTGAAAATACGAGTAAACGCTTTACTCCGTGGGATATTCTCGTAAGTCAGAGATCTAATTTTCGAAGTAAGAAAATCCTGATTTTGGAGTAAATTTTTGGAAAAAGCAGGAGGAATCCCTTCCCCCCTTATCGGACTGCCCCTGGCATCGTCCAGTTACGGACGAAATGCATCTAGCTCTTTCCGATATGTGAAGTTTGCTTGTATTGAACAGTTTGGGAATTTCATCTTTCAATCGAAAAAAATGAGTCCATAGTCTTTCATGGTCTAGAAATAATTATCAAGTCATATTGTGGATTCATTAATTGAATTTTTAAGTAAATTTTCTACTTCGAGTTTTCTCATCATTCCCGTCAAGTCAAGGAAAAGTTATTTTGGACAAAGATGGATACCGTATCCACCTTAACGATCAGTGATTAAAAAGTAGAGGTCAACTTTTTTCCACATGGTCATGTAGATATCTGCTATACAATATGACTCCGCCAATCATTCTTGCTGAGATCCTATACGCTACTGCTCCTCAGCATTTTTTTTAATTTTTAGGTTCTCCCTCTACAGACATTGATTGTAACGCTTCCATGACACACTATGATTATTCGTCTCTGCCAGCACTATCCAGAAAATTATGATTCATCGTTTGTTTGCTTCCTCACATGATTCATGTAAATAGAATTAATAATAATATATAAAAAGTAACAGCAGGAATTAGTCATAATTTTTAGTTCTTCTCTAGTGTTTGGAACGAATAAATAATGTAGAGTATGCTGTTTCTGTTTTCAGTTTTACTCACGAACTCTACTATTATAAACGCTTGAACTCTTAAAGTAAGGACTCACATTGCATCTCGTTCTCTGAAGCAGATTAGATGGTTTTGTATTTGCTACATTTTATAACATTTGCATAGCTGCTCTATTGAGAGTTGTAATTGATCATTTTAGGAGAAAAAACTGTTTCGAAACGACATAAAATATGTACTAAATATCTTTCACTATTTGCTTTGATTATGTAATAGAAGATAATCTTTACTTAATAGATATTAAGTTTTGTTATTTATTTTTGTTCTTCATCTTTCGTATATAATTGTTGATCTTATTTGTTTGTTTTAGAATGAGTATTATTACCGCAGAAAAACCAACATCGGGTGGCGTCAAGACGCCAACATTGAAAGATGTTAAACACGAGGCAAATAATTATTTAAATCGTGCTAAAAAATTAGAGAATGATAAAAATTATGAAGAGGCAACAGTGTTATATAAACGTGTTATATCATTGATCCAAAATCATGAAAACGACAATACGGTAGATGAACAATCGGCAAAAGAATTAGATACATTAAAAAGAAATGCAACTCAAAATTTGATGCAAACGGCTTTACATTCAAGTCCCCCATCTGCGCCAGTTTATGTAAATATGATAAGACAACTATCGAATCATGTACAGCAAGTAAATAATTTGACGCTTTGTGTAAAAAAAAGACGCTATGTTAACGTTGCAAATAAATCACTTTGTTTTTGTTTTTTATTTCAATAATAGCCATTCAACGAACAAGATTTAACTGAAATGGGAGAACAAGTGTTTTCGGATGAAACAGCATTTGAGCCAGTTGTAAATAATCATGAAGCGGCAAATGCTGCAGTCTTATTCGAACTTGAACGGGGAGCAAAATTGTTCTATATGGCGGCGGATGGTAAAATAGAAACGACATCTGATACGTTGCCGTTATCAATCTTTGAAATGAGGTTTGTCGAACTTCTGGTTATATATGACAACATATTTAATGCAAGTATTTTTTATTATTAGTGAGAGCACTGGTGAAACGTGTGGTTTGCTAAAACTCGGTAGTTGGATTTATCCGTTAAATCCTAAAGTGTCTCCAGCATTCAAAACATCATTCGATGCTTATCTCTTTCCGAATAATACATCTGTTGGTATGTTTTGCATCTTGTGGTGATCTGTCTTATTGTATTTCACTGAATTATTTTATAGGGGAATTTGTTGGGTTAATGTTTGATGAGAAAATATCACCAGATACCATACAATATTTTGAAGATGTTCTGTCAAAATACTCTGTTTTCATGGCACAACCAAATACTCCAACTTATGGTGAATCATTAACAGCTACCACAACATCATCTGCAACTGCTCAAGGGGAAAAAATCGTTCCTGTTTCTAAACAGACAGAAGCATCAAAAGTAGCCGAAAAGAAAAAAGGCGAAATAATTGGTGAAGAAGAAGTTGCTATTGAGGACGAATCGTTGTATGATACATCGACAGCGACTGGAAAACTAGCAGGCGCATTGGTAACTGGAACAAAATTTCTGACGAAACAGTTAGCAACAGGAGTGATAATGGCAGAAAATCTAATTAATAAGGCTTCGATCAAAGTTCATGACAGCTTGGTGCCATCAGCAGAACCGGTGAAAGTTCATGCAGGTTAGTTTTGTCCGACAAAATAATCAAGTAAAAATGAATACTTTTCTTGTTTAAGGATGGCATGCAACAGCTCGAGGACTTCGATCTACTTCAAATGTGGCTGTAAAATGTAGTAGTTATGTTGGTTAGTATTATATTCTATTCTATTATTTCAGATTATATTGTAATTTTTTGTTTGATAGTTTCCAAAGTTGGTGCCATGACTCTCGGTCTTGCAAGAACATTTGCACCGCAATTTGGAAGAGTGCAAAAGAAAAAAAATGCCGATGGTACAGAAGAAATTGTCAAATTATCGGGAATACGCGGTATTGGTCATGCAGGTTTAACAAGTAAGCTGTATTTATCAAAAAACTACTTTGTTTATCATACTTAACGTTATACTCATTGAAATTCTAGGCTTCTCCGTTGCGTATGAGAGTTGTGAAAATGCAGCAAAACATTTAGCAAAAAGTCTTGCTAATGAATCAGTCTCGGTTGTTAAACATAAGTAAGTAGAAATACACTGACGGTTTTCTAGAGTTGTTCGACAAGAATGATCGAATAGATATAGAAACCTAATATACTAATTACTAGTTCGTTTTAACACTTTTTTTGCCAGATTCGTTTGGCTTATGTCCGTTATCTTTTCTAAAACGTAAACTTCATGTTTTTTGTTTGATTTAGATATGGTGATGATGCCAGTATATTGACGGAGAATGCAATGTACGCTGTGGGTAATACAGCACTAACAACGTACTATGTGGGTGGTCTCGGTCCAAAAGCAATTGCAAGAAGAGTTGTTAAACAAACAGCGAAAGAAACGGCTAAAAATGCATTAAACATATAAACGGCAATATTTCAATTATTTTTAAAGATAACGATTTTTTTTTATACTTATAAATTTTTTATAGTTATAACTTTGGTCTATATCTTTTATTTTGTACAAAATCGATTTTGCATGTGTTTTTTGTTGTAATCGAGCGGCTATTGTCTGTTATATTCTGTATATGTCTCCTGTTCCATGTTGTGTTGATTAACGCTAGATTATATAGACTTTTATTGATTAACCAAGCTATGGGCAAGTTATCTATCTTTGTGGATTTTATTTAAAATTTCTTTTTCTATACTATTTTCTTTTTCAACATTGTGCTAGTTTTTACCTTTCGTTTGAGTGAACAAATAAATCTCAAATGACTTGAGGTATCTTGTAACTTTTGTTTATATAGTTTCCTATACTTAAGCATTTTATACATTTTTTCTTTGTTTCATATCTGTGTCTTTTATGATATTACATAACAGATATGTACTTTATCTATTCTATCTCGAGTGCATAAAGGTGAAATAAGAAGTATGCTTTTCTCTATTCTTTTTTAAACTATATAATAAATATGAAAAAACCACAGTAATGAATAAAATATTCATAATGACTGATACAGATTTGTTTAGAGAAATGCTTATTTAATTAAAGAAGTAAATTGGTAGGAAAAAATAACTTTCTTTTTGAGCCGTTTGAAATTTTATTTTCCCTAGACACTGACAACATATTCCTCATATGTCCGTTAAAAGTTCTCGTTGATCTATGTTGATATATTATCTAATTTACTCTATTATAATCAATATATAAAGATTTTTCCAGAAAAGTATAGATATGATGAAATTTAGGACACAAGTGCGCGCTCTACTTTTTATTTGAAACTTGTTATGCTGATAATTGTTATCTAACTCGTTTGTATTTACGTTGAAGATGTATGGTACATCATTAACGATCAAAAATGTATGTTCGTTTATTTATTCTATTTATTCATCGTCACATAGTTCGCTATTCAATCTTACAACAATATTTGATGATTCTGTTCATCAGTATTATCATTTTATATTTATGTGATGTATCGCTATCTATTTTTCTTCTATTCCCACTGAGCACAATTTTAGTCTATCATTTTTCAAAAAAATTGAGTGACATGAAACAACGTTTATGGCCATCGCATTATATCTATGATTTATTGATTAATACGATATTACCTTACTCACAAAAACATGACACAACTATTGAAAAAATAAACTCAAATAATTATCCAAATTTAAGTAATGAAAACATTGTAAGTGATGAACGCTGAGATAATAAATAAATCATGATGCACTATAAAAATTAATAACATACAACTGCCGTTTTGCAGAATAAAAAGTTCCTCAGTCAGGTATGAGATTCTTTTGAGAATTTTCTATCTTTTTGTCGTAATTTCCTTACCCCTCACCAAGAACCTGAATAGGGAGGGAACTTTAGGAGAATATGAGAAAAAACATTTTTCTCTGTGTAACCAAAAAAAGAAAAATAGTTTTTTAGTTCCGCTGGGAGAAAACGAAAAACTTTTATTTTCAGGGGGTGTACACTTCCCTCCACGCTTAAACTTCAGGCCACTGTCCCTCACTCTCACCCTTGTTCAGTATTCTCTCACCGTCGTTCGGTGTTTATTTTTGTTTGAATCCTTTTTGTGATTACCTTATCTCCTTCTAAAGTTCTTGTTTTGTGGTTTTAGTTATTTCTTTGCGCTCAGCCTCGATGATTGAATCGGCAATAATAACTAGAATCATTTTGTTTAGTTTAATCACTAGACGAGTATTCCTATTCGTTACAGAATCTTAAAATATTTTGTTACTTTGGGATCTAAACTACAGTTTACTTCTATCTCTGAGAGCAAATTTCTCAGATTTTTTCAAAACTTTATCCTGTTTCAAAACGATCTTTTTCTGTTATGTTATTTATAAAGTAAAAGAATCTTTTTTCACGGTTGAAACTTTTTATCGCGCAACAACTCAACAGTCTCAGCGATATACCAAAAATCGATATTTGACTTTGCAAATTGATGATATCGGACGATTAAGAGACAGTTCGTGAGAAAACCGCGTTTTTCTGACATACTTTCCACCTCCTCAATTTCAAAATTCGTTTTTGATCACAAATTCTGAAAGAGTGTATACGATTTCGTCAGAAAACTATTAAAAATTCTTTCTTCTCCCTCTGTATATTTTATTTTGTGAGAAAAACAATATATTCGTGTTCAGCGAATGAAACTGCGTAGTTTTATAATTTTACCGAGCTTTCCACCCTCACCCACATGCCATCATCATTCTTCAGAACCGTGTGAAAACGGCTTTGACCTTAGACATGAATTAAAAAGTGTGTAAACCACTCTACGTTATATATCATTCGATAGAGAATTTCACGGGCTACAAAATGATATATAACATAGCCTTAAGAAAATGTAACTGGCTAGTCTAAGATTCGAAATACTCGCTAGCATGTCAGCGAACAGGTAGGTCACCGTTGTTCATGTTTATAGTATTCATTGATTTTCTCGTTAACCAGTCTACTTTATATATCATTCGATGAAGAATTTTATGGGCTTCAAAATGAGCTGTGACTAAGCCTTTCAAAGATATGCCTACATGGGTCAATAGTCGAAATACTTGGCCAATATAATGATTTTCACCTATCTTAGTGCTTTAAACACTCCTTTAGTCATTTCTCTGCCATAATGAACAATTATGTATTTTTCAAAAACATACCACTGGATAG